TAAATTTTTTACAAAGCAATGTATTGTTTTTTCTATTTGCCAATAAAAGAATAGAGTTAATCATATCCAACTAACAATCCAAGAAATGAGTAATTTGGTTGCATAGATGTCAGTAATTTTTTACTAAAACAGAAATTTTATAGACAATCTATATATTATATGGAACACCTTCCGAAATGCCGTTTTATGTAACTCGTTCATGTTGCGGGACCTTGCTCTGCTCGTCCCGCAAATATTCTCTGGTTTCGCAACTGGTTTCATAAATAGTTAATATAGGTATTATATTTTAGTAACGCTAATTAATTACTATACAGACTTAATGATGGCCTAAGGCCGAAATCGGTGGTCAATCTTTTAAATAAATATTTTTTGTGGGATTGATTTCGTGTCATATTTTTACTACTTATAACATTTATTATTTGACCCACCAGTTTATTAAAATAAACAAAACAGGAAATATTCAAATATCTTTCCCATCATTTTTTATACTTCTAGAGGGGTAACACAATAAACACTTTTTACTAAAACACCTGTTTTTGTGCTCAGAACACATGAAAGGAATTCCTCAACTGATCTAATATGACTAATTTTAAAAATAAACTTAAAAGCTAGTGTGTATTTAACAGCTCTTAATTTACACCTCGGTGTCATATAAGTCAGGTAAACATTTTAGAGTAGCACTAAATATTTTAATCTTCTACAAAAGAACGTATATATTATCCAGCGAAAACGATTAAAATATGGAATAATAATTTCTATTATAAATAAAGTTTTATATACTTATTTCAATTTAAATATAAATATATTGTAATCAATAATAATATACAAAAAACAACCTATTTAAATCTATATGAAAAAAAAAACTGAAAAACGTCGTTATAAATAATTATAACAACGCTGATCTGTTTGGCCTGGGCTTCTAATTCTGTAGGATATTTAACAATACTATATATTGTCTGTTTAAAATAAAAATATAAATAAAAAAAATGGATTATTTGCGTAAGAGACTATAGTTCAATACCGAAATTAAAGACAGTAATTTGAGGCGTTGAGAGCTAGAGTGGCCTAACCCACAAAATTTGCTTATTTTATGTTTTAGGTCACCATCGTAATGGTAATTGCCTATATTTTCAATGTTAGAATGGCCTAAGCCTAGTTTAATATCAATTTCAGAGATGTCGCCACAAATATTGTTTAAAAAAGAGCGCCGACGAAAAAAGGTCGCGAGCAATTGATCGCGCGAAAAAAAGGCGAGTAGGAAAATAGTGCGTACCAATGTTAATATTTCTATTATTATCTTTTATTATCTTTTAATCCCAATGAAAAACAATCGTTGGTCTTAAAGTGTTATAATGAGGGCATCGTAACAAGAAGGGTTTGGTAAAATTTAGTATTCATAGATTTGTTTTGAAAATCTTTATATTGCAGGTAACCTTTTAAAGTATGTCTCTAATACCTATTTATTAAAAAAAAAACGATTTGTTTATTATTACTTTAGATAATTACCAATAAACATTGGAAAATCAAACTTTCCTTCACACTTTATCCAGGCTTAGGACTGGCAGGTAATATTACCTGGCGTGTTTAGAAGTTTTTTTTAGTTTTTTTTTTTAGTTTTTTTTTGTTTTTTACTTTTTTCTAGTTTTTGTTGGTTTTTTTTTGTATTTTTTAATTTTAAATTTTTTTTTCTGAAGTGGAAAGTTATGAGCAATACCCCTTAAATATTCCAAATTTGGACGATTGCCATATTGTTCACAAATGGAATTTATTCGTTTCGCCGTATCTTTATAAATTTTTTTTCGTTGCTGTTCGTTTCCAGCTATACAGTATGGTTCAAATGAAAGGAATAAATTCATTATAATGGAAGTAGTTGGTTTTTCGAAAAAATGCTCGGACAGGTCAATTTTGTTTACTCAAAGCGCAATTTTTTAAGTAGAATTCAATTTTCCCCCCACTTCCCATTTTTGGGTAGTGACGTCATTGACAATTTTTTTAAATAGTAACCCCAATTTTTTTTTTCTTGATTTTGTTAGATCTTGCAATTTCCTACTCGGAAACATAATATTTGAAATATCTTACATAACAATTTTTTTTTAATAAAAGTCATATAAATTTTATTTTATTTTGAGAACACAATAAATGAATAAAAGATAATTATTTGTAATTAAGTGCTTAATTAAACAAAATAATTGTATTATTATTATTAATAACAATAATAAAAAAGAATTTGTGAAATTGTCATTAAATTCTTTTTATTATTATTATTATTTTTTTAGATGAAGCACTTAATTACAAATAATCTTTTATTTATTTATTGTGTTTCAAAATAAAATAAAATTTATGTATCTGATCTTTAAATGACTTTTATTCAAAAAAAATTGTTATGTCAGATATTTCAAATATTACGTTTCTGAGTAGAAAATTGCAAGATCTATCAAAATCAAGAAAAAAAAATTGGGGTTACTATTTAAAAAAATTGTCAATGACGTCACTGCCCAAAAATGGGAAGTGGGGGAAAATTGAATTATATCTAAAAAATTGCGCTTTGAGTAAACAAAATTGACCTGTCCGAACATTTTTTCGAAAAACCAACTACTTCCATTATAATGAATTTATTCCTTTCATTTGAACCATACTGTATAATGCTCAACTTTCAAACAATTTACTCTCCTCTTTTTTTAGCGTATTGATAAAGTTCCATAAATTTGGATGTGCTGCATTTAATATAGAGGAGAAACTGTTGTGCCATCCCTCCACAGAATTATTTGTACGATGTATATCTTCGTCTATAAATTCAAAGCAATTCCACAGATTTCTTGAAAATTGCGGTTGTCTCCTCTGGTGTCGTCGATCTAAGCGGCCCATCCATAAATCTTCAAAATAATTTATAAATGGCAATAGCGTATCTTCATTTTGCGTGTAAAATTCGCTGTCAAGTAACTCTTCAAACGTTACAACAACATCTTCTTCGGGTAAGAATGCAAGAGCTGCCAGTTGTCGCAGATGTAGAGCAAAATTTACGTCTTATGTATAAATACGTTGCAATCCTGCACCTTGCATGTTTCTCCACAAGTATTGCGTAAAGTGAAAGAAGCAGCCACGCACTCTGACTTCAGGAAACTGTTCTTGTATGACATTAATTGCTGCCCTTTCAAAATCCACCATTATTGTTGCAGGTCGTAAACCTGGTCTTTAGGTTTTTAATTCTTGAAAAAAGCATTTATATGCCTCGGTAGTCTTATTGGGAAGAGCATATACAGTGGGTACAACGTTGCTGTACTGTACTCCATGGATTGTATACAGCTGAGCAAATATTAAAGGAGCACACGTAAATGTTCCATCAGCATACCATTGATTACAGTTCTTCATAAAAGTTAAATTTTTTTCGGTGAAAAAAATCAAAATTCTGTCTTCGTTTGGGCCACTATCAAATAAAAGAAAAGGTTTGCCATTGCTGCTTATGGTGTATTTTTCTGGAATAACAAGCTCGGATAAATTTCTAGGATTTGCTGGAATAGCTTCCTTTTTTTGACGTGTGTGTTGAATAGTCCACTTTAGGGATGAAATGGGAGGTAATTGCCCAGTTGCACCTAAAGAAATTTCTTGTGAAACAGTAGCTAATATACCTTTTGTTGTTAATTCAACTTGTTACGCCATTTCTTTTATCTTATTACAAGCTTTCTTTGCTTCTAATTTGGCTGCATCTGCAATATGGTTGTGGCTTGTACTTTTTACTGCTCCATCTCCCACAGTGTGAACTCTTCCGGTACATTTCCAGTTATGGTATTGGGCACACTTCCAAATTGTCTTTTCACCTATCACTTTCTCCTTTCTATGGATAAAGCCATTGTACACTAACATATTAGCACCTTTTTGACTGTTTACGTAAGTTAGAACCATCTTGACAGAACGACAAATCTATGAATACTAAATTTTACTAAACCCTTCCTATTACGATGCCCTTATTATAACACTTTAAGACCGTATTTAAAACCAATTAAGTAAATTGTGAAATAAATGATTGTTTTTCGTTGGGATTAAAAGATAATAATAGCAATATCAACATTAAAGCCTTATTAACAGCTAACGGGGTTGTTTGTAACAAGATTTACTTAGAATAAGTAACCAGCTTATTGGTAATTATCTAAAGTAATAATAAACAAATCGTTTTTTTTTAATAAATAGGTATTAGAGACATACTTTAAAAGGTTACCTGCAATATAAAGATTTTCAAAACAAATCTATGAATACTAAATTTTACCAAACCTTTCTTATTACGATGCCCTCATTATAACACTTTAAGACCAATGATGGTTTTTCTTTGGGATTAAAAGATATTAAAAGATAATAATAGAAATATCAACATTATTACGCGCTATTTTCCTACTTGCCTTTTTTTCGCGCGATCAATTGATCGCGACCTTTTTTCGTCGGTTTTTTTTTTCGCCGGCGACCTTTTGACACGCGCCTATTTGTGCGCGAGATTTTTTCGCGCGACCAAATGTTCGCGACCTTTTTTCGTAGATCCATACACAACCTTGCAAAAAGTACTGCTATCATGTATGTATGGAATGAATCAATTGCTTCAAGAGGGCCGCAAGAAATTGGATCGTGTTTGTTACACTATTGTAAGAATTTTGTTAAGGAAAAAAAACTCATTATGTATAGTGACCAATGGGGTGGTCAAAAAAGGAACATAAAAATGGCGCTTATTTGCGACTTTATAGCAACATCGACAGAATTTACTGTGAATAAAATTGATCACAAATTTTTGGTATCAGGTCATTCTTATCTGCCTTGTGATCAGGACTTTGGCATAGTGGAAAAAGAAAAAAGGTTTATAAAGATATATTTTTACCTGTCCGTTGGGTAACAGTTATAAAATCTGCACGTAAAAAAAGCCATTTCAGGTAATCCGAAAATGAATTTTTTTCTACCAGAGTCCTAAAAAACAGCATAACTAATAGAAAAGTGTCTAAAATAGTTCAAATGTAGAATGGATGAAAATGCAATGGCTTAGATACACTTCTGAAAACAAGCACCGTTTTCAGTTCAAATATTCCAACTCAGAGGATGTTTTATTCAACTTTGTAAATGTGTCAAAGCGCAAGACAGATAATCAAGTTAATGCTTTACAACTGTTGTTCCAAAATGGTAGACCGATTGAAAAAAAGAAGAAACAGGATCTTATGGAACTTCCTCCTTATATTCCTCCCATAGTCCACCCATTCTATGAAGGTCTGAGTACTTCTGCTACAACAGTTGATGAACTAGCTGAGCAGGCCGATAGAGAAAATTTTGATCCAGTCGATGACGAAAACACTTAA